AAAAGCAGCTACATTCAAATTTGTGCAGGTAGCACTGTCACTCAAGATATAACCCCATTTAAGCATATCCCACATGCTTCTATTTTCTTTTAACCCATGTTAGATTTTGTAGAATGATTTGTGTTGAAGGGAACCTTGAAGAAAGATAGCCCTGTCATTCTGTGATGTTGATGACAATCATCATTCACATATATAGTGATTAGTATATTATCTATGCTTGGGAAGACTTTTAACCTTATTAAAACTGGTTAAAGCAGGGGAAAAAGAAGTTAGAAGGATCCACTTTCATTGCTAGTTTATCTACATCCTTGGCTTGATCTGGCATTGTTGCCTCAGTTTATCCATCTACAAATGAAGACTCTGACAGCAAATGGCTTGAGAAGGCTGCTGCTCACAGACAAAGCTGAATAATGCTGTAGGCAGAAAGAGCATCCCAGCAGGAGGTACCCTACAGATTTGACAGCAGCTCAGGGTGAGTATTTTCCACCACCCCAGAGAAAGGGGCAGGTGAAAGCACTGGACATGCTGGGCTGTAGCTTATTTGGTGCCTGTAGAGCATCTCTGTTTCCCTGCAAGTCCAAGGTACAGCAACAGCTTTAAGTAACCACAAAGGCAAGGCTTTGAGTTTCAGAAGGACACTTTACAGCTTCTATGCGAGTGAACTAGACCTTGCCTGTACCCATTTCCTAGCCCCAGAATTCCAGTGACCACTGCCATACCTTTACTTTGAGGTCTGGCATGACATGGCTGCCTCTAAACTGACCTTACAGAACAGTCTGCCCTAAATCACTCCGTGCTGCAACAGGACCAAAGCCCATGTCCAACACGGGGTTAATTTACTAAAATATGTTGTACTCTTGCACAGTTTAATTTCCTTGATCCCCGCAAAGGGGATCTCTCTGTCCATCTCCCTGTGAGAGTATGTGGCTGAGGTATATGAATAGGTTCAGTGCCTGCCTGTGACCTGGGATCTGCCAGGTTTGTTTCTCCTCTCCCAGAAAGGAATTCTTGCTCTGCCTGACATAGGGCTTTAGAGAGATGGTCTCTCTTTGTAATTCTTCCCCTTGGCATTAACATTTCACTGATCCAGAGGAAATAGTCTGAATTATATGCTCAATCGTATGAGTCCTGTTGCTACTAAACATTGGATTTAATTCATTTTGCAATAAAATTGAATACATTCAACTTTCATCCTCTTTTTTTTTTTTTTTTTTCTTTCCTTTACCCCCAGGAATTTAAGATATTTAATTGGTGTGAAAAAGACCAAATTAAGTTCCCCACCTGAGGGATTGAGATCTAACTCCCAGGATAGTACACAAGGTGCATAAAAATATATTGAATTCCAACAATAACAACATAACAGTCCACAGAACAGAGGCAAAAAAAGGGGAACCTCAGGCTGAAAACATTGTTCAAGTCACAGAATGTTCTGAGTTTGGCTGGGATAGAGTTAAGGTTTTTTTCATAGTAGTTGGTATGGGGCTACATTTTGGATTGGTGCTGGAAACAGTGTTGATAACACAGGGACGTTTTTGTTACTGCTGAGCAGGGCTTACACAGAGTCAAGACCTTTTCTGCTTCTCACCCCACCTGTGAGTAGGCTGGGGGTGCACGAGAAGTTAGGAGGGGACAGAGCTTGGACAGCTGACCCCAGCTGGCCGAAAGGATATTCCATATCCTGTGACATCATGCTCAGGAGTAGGACCTGGGGGGGAAA